GCTTTGTGCCAGAAGCTTCGAAAATATAGAATCAGCCCCACGACGCCCCCGCACACTTCCGCACACTTCCGCACGCTTCCGCACGCTTCCCGCACACAGGACCACCCACACACAGGACCACCCGCGCACTCCCGCACACTTCCGCACGCTTCCGCACGCTTCCGCACGCAGGACCACCCGCACACAGGACCACCCGCACACTCCCGCACACTTCCGCACGCTTCCGCACGCTTCCGCGCAGAACCCCCGCACACTTCCGCACGCTTCCGCACGCTTCCGCACGCTTGCGCACGCTCCTGCGTGGACCCGTCCGCTTGGGCACACCGCCGGCCGCCGAGGCCGCCCCATGCCGGCCCCATTGTCCGTCACCGTCCCCACTGGTCCCCACTCACCAAGCATCATGAGCATCAGCCGCGACTTCCAACACAATCAACAAAACTTGGCCGAAATTGGCAGAAATCCAAGCCAATGGTCCGGTTACGCGCAGTTTGACCTGGTTTGAACAAAAGTCGCACCAAAGGGCTGCAAACGCTAAGGGCGGTAAGGGGATGCTTGCAACAAGGCACTCAGACCCGGCCAGGCCCGGCCATCATCCAACTACCGAGTGGAGTCTTGATTTGTTTGAGTATAGCGCACTGAGACGAGGATTCAACACCAACACTGTATACAATGGCAACCATGTAAAGCATGTTGCGTCGCTGGTCACTAGTGTATGTCTTTGTCTGTCTGTCTAACTTCAAGTCCGGTCCAGTCAAGTCAAGTCAGTCAAGTCCCAGAGTCCCAGGTGATGCGTGGTCCGTGGCACAACATGTGACATGTGTGGTCCTTCTCGTCACTCTAGAACCCATTTGCTCCAGACTCCAAACCAAGCCCCAAGAATTAAATCACCAGAAGTCCACCCAGCACAAGCCACAAGTTCGAGTGACTTCTGCAAGTAGTTCGTGTGCGCTGTGATTGAAGCCAACTTGACATTGTGGCATCATTGTGGCACGGATCCAATTCTGCAGACTGCTCTGACAGCCAGCCAGTCGAATGCTGTTGGACATGTGCAGCCCTTGGCCTTACAGGATTCAGATGAGGGCCTGTTGGACTCAGTGTAGGAGACTTATGAACCCGAGCAAACATCCAGGTTCCTGTCTTCTTGTGTTCTTACTGTAACTTACTGTCACTGCTTTATGTCTGCAGGTTTCGATGCAAGAGATTCGTAAGTGTACAAATCTGCAAACAGATCTTGATCTTGCTTCTGCGTGGAAGCACTGTTTCATGCGAGTGTCTGTGTCCCGAGCAATCATGAGCTCATGAAGAAGAGACCTGCGAGCCGTGCGAGTGTGGATTCGGTGCCGGCCGAAGTGCCTGCGCTTTCAGGGCCTGCCGAAGTGCTTGCGCCTTCAGCGCGGCCGCTGCTCAAGCGCGCAAGATCTCAGCGTGCGTTGCACTTTGGGGCGCAGGCAAATAGCCGCATCTTCGGAAATCTCGACCTCGGCAGCCTCGACCTCGACATCTCTGACGACGATAATGATTTGATTCTTCCAGCTTCTTGGAGTTCCGCGAAGGCCAAGACCCCGAAGGCACGTAGTGTCAGTTCTTTCAAGCAAGCAGTTCTGTCTTGTGCACTACTCGGATGTTGCGCTTGCCTCTTGCTGCATCCTGTTTGTCGCATTACGATACCAGCCCAGCTTGTCCAAATTGTTGGTGCAGCGTGCACCCTCGGCCACCGGCCTTTGCTTCTCATGTTGTTCGACACACCAGACTCGGGTGATGGGCTGCGGCCGGCCTCTGAGGGAGCGCCGGTAAAGGAGGAGCAGCTCGAGTCACCTTCGAAAGGATCCCCAGGTCTTCAGGCTGCCGTGCTCGCGCTTGAACAGAGTCCAGGCAAAGATGGTGCGGATGACCCTATGGCCGTTGAGTCATCTTCGGCGTCTGCAGCGGCCCCGCCGCCACCCGCGCCAGGCGGTTCGGCCGATGCTATGTGTCCCTTGTGCAACACCAGGAAAGCTGCTGCCAAGTCGAAATGGTGCAACATCTGCAAGGCAGATGTTCAAGCCGCAAGACGCGAGTCACAGGACAAAGGCGAAGGCGAGTGGTTCCGCAGCCTGCTTCGCTCCGGCGGGGAGCCGCTGCAAGACTTCATGCACGAGTACGTCAAAGTCAACGGGGCGACAAGACGGAAATTTGCCCAACGCTGCAAATTTGATTTCTTGAGATACAAGGAGGCTCGCAGGATCCAGACCAGCTACAGACTCGGCTACAAGGCGGGAGTGTTTCTTGCTGCATAGTATTAAACGAGAAGACAAGTCTGACATTTTGCATAAAGAGAATCCAAGCGAGTTCAGACCAGGCTTAAGCTTGGCTACAAGGTAGGATACAAACTCGTCGCACGCTAGAAATTCAGCTGCTGCCAAACCCTAAAGCGATTCGTGAGATGTAGGTTGGCAAACCGTTAATCCTGTCAATTGGCACAGCACAAACCCTGAAAGTAAATGTTAAAAATCCATAAAAATCCCAACCTCGAACCGGAGATGCTGGCGGCAGCCAGCGTGTGGATGTTGAGTATGTGATGTGCTTTGAAGTATTAGTCTGAGCCGAGCGATTGGCATGACTGAGGTATGTGTTGACTGCGAATTCTTTGAAACGCAAAACAAGTGCTATGTGAAGTCTCTGGAAAAGTAATTGTGTGTGTGTGTGTGTTCCAATCAGTTTATGTGTGCCTGCGTGTGTTCAACAACTTCACGCTGCTTCTGAAACGTGTCCCTTCCGGGCATGTGACATGTGAGTCTGTGAGTCACTCTGAGCCATGCGAGGCCGTTTTTATGGCGAAAGGCCGCGCGGTCTCCCACTTTATGGAGCGCTTTGGTTTGGATCGGAAGCAAGCGCTGGATCGCTGGGACGCGGAGGTGCAAGCTGCAAAGGTGACGAACCACAACGGACCTGTTGGGTCGACTTTGCAAATTCCTGTGAAACTAGATGATTTTCTGATAGTGGAGGACGCGATAGTGGACGAAAAAATCAAAGAGAAAGAACACAAGAGACAGAAATTCACTGCTGAGACTGACGAGCTGATGGATGACGGGCTGCTCGGCAGAGCAGGCCGGGACGAGGACATCGAGAAGTTCGGTTTGTCGAAGATGGACAACCCAGACCTGGTGTCTAGCTTGTTCGGTCGTCCCAACAAGATTCAGGTGGATGTCAGTGCGCCCGCTGCCGCCGAGGAGAAGGAGGACAAGGGCCAGGGCAAGGAAGCTCGGAAGTCATTTGATCCTGCTACGGAGAAGCTGGCGTTGCAGAACAAGTTGAATCAGATGCTCGACAAAGAAGCCTTAGCTGGCCTTAGCTCTTTCAAATCTTCTTCAGGAAGTTGTTGCCTTCACAGATGATGATTTCGATGCTGCGATGGCATCCCTCGAGACTCCGCTCAACGAGCTGGCAGCAATGAAACTGCTGCGTGCCAGGAAACTGGTTGCTCAGGCTTTGCTTGGAAAATACGCTCCAGGCAAAGCGCAGACGGATGATCCTGCGAAAGCGCAGGCCGATGTCGATCACTATGAGGCCGTCTTGCAATGCAACCCGGAAGCAGAGCTGCCGGAGACCTTTGCGCAGATGCACCCTTTGCTGAACATCTCCCAGAAGCTTGCCAGTGAGTTGAAGACCTTGGCGACACCTGCTGAAAGGAAGAGCATCGAGTCTGACTTCAAGCCTGTGGTCAACGTCGTGTCGCTGATGCGGTCATCCCTCAAATCTGCGCTAGACAAGACGAGAAAGTTCAGCAAAGATCGCCAGGCTCGCGAGGACCGGGCGAAGCGCCAGCAAGACCAGCAGGCAGTGAAGGCAATCGCAACAGAAAAGAAGAAGAGAGATCAGGAAGCGCAGAAGATCAACAAAGCTGCGGAAAAACAGGGACGAGTTGACAACATCTTTGGCATAGATTTGCTGAAGCTCGGCATCCGTGCACTTCCGCATGTGCCACTCGAGACGGCGGAGGATATCAAAAGTCTCGACTTCAAGAAGCCCTTCCTCTTCAAGACCGACTCCCCTGCTCTCTCCGAGCTCCAAGCCGCTTGCCAGGACCCAAAAATCAAAACATCCCTGGACAGCTTCTACAACGGCTTTCCAGGCTCTGCGGCCGCCTTGAAAGGGACCAAGCGGTTTACTGTTATGATCAAGGATACGGAGCCCCTACGTGCCAAGATCTTGGAGAACCTGCAGATCCCAGTGCTGCCGCCTCCGCGCATCTCAGCTTTGTCTGAATTTGCTGTGATATGCATGCTTGCGGATTGCGGTGTTCAACGCACATCGCGTGACTGTGCCTGTGAGCGCCGTGTTGCTGATTCAAGCGAAGCTTCTCAGGTGATGCAGATCCGTCGATCGTGAATGCGCTGCAGGGTGTTTACTCTTGGGCCTATGGAGAAGACATGCNNCAAACTCAAGGACATCGCTGGCTAATCTTCGTCTCCCTCGACAGCTTGGCCAGCTACGTTCGCAGCTGCAGGCAAGGAGCTGCTGTCACGCATGCAGATGTATTGGAGTGCATGCAGACTATGCAACCCCACACCATGGCGGCTTTCCTCAGCATGCATCCGGATGCTGTTCAGCATGGCCTCGTGAGCAGGGGTAGCGCAACTTTTGTGCCTGCGGCCTGGCTATTGGCTGAGAAGGCTGGGGCCGGGGGCTAATATTCTGTGATTGTTTTGTTGCGGTCAAATCTCAAGTGGCCCAAGTCAATCTTTTTCGTTTCGCAGGTCATCAACATGCGATGCGTCTTCGGCATCCGGGTCCAGTTCTTGCCTGACTTGGATGCCTCCGACAAGAATCTGGACGTGCTTGCGAATTGGTCTTCTTCGGGTGTGACGACACAATCGAGCTTGGGTGGTCTTTACAAGTGCAAGCACTCCTCCGGTGTGAAGAAGGCATAAGCGCGGTAGCATGCAGTGTGCACGATGTTAGTCGCCAGCTGTTTGATAAGTTCAGGTTTGAGCTCTGCCTCATGATCGTGTGAATCG